AAGATTCGATTTGCTCACCAGGCTCTTTGCCGAATTGACCACTCTGTCACTCAGTGTCTTGGCAGAGATCTTGTTCAGGGGAATGATGGTGTACCTCCGCTGCAGCTCCCCCTTCTCCAGCAGCTTCTTACCTGTCACCTACACGCACACGCGCGCGCGCAAACACACACACACACACACACACACACACACACACACGAGAGTTAAATATGAGAAGCCACGTGGCTGAAGTCAATCCGCGCACGGTACCTCACCTCTGTGTCAACGACAATGTTATAAAGTCGGCCGCCGGCGACCACCTCCAGGGCAGTCGCATAGGAAACGTTGCGTACTGAAATCAAGTTGGCCAACAGTCCTTTCACTTTACTGCGGTCCCATCCACGTTCAGGGTCTCTGAAAGACATTTTTAACAGTTTAGAACTGCAATTAAAGTAGTGAATACAACGTACATGCAAATAAATGCCTCAACTCTTTGTTCTACTCACACAGCTCCGTTCATGTGACTTACTTGTAGTCAAAGCGAAGGTTTGGGAAGCGAGACACAAGCCGCTCGTATTTCTCTTTCAGACTTGCTACCTCTCTGGACAGCTGTCTTTTCTTCTCCAGAAGACTCTCCTCCTTCCCATCTGCATACAGCACAAATTGTTCAAAAGAACGGCAGCTGCTAAGTTCATAAGATGCTTAGGCAGTACCTTCATATTTGAGTTTAGCGAGCTCGGCCTCTAATTTCTCCTTGCGGTTTTTGATAACCTGCAGACTATCCTGATCCTTCTTGTAGCCGCTGTCCATATTTTTCACCTCGGCCTGCTTGGTCTTCAGTTCAGCTTGGGCGTGCTTCAGCGTCATTTGGGCCTTAGAGGAAAGGACAGAGGCTGACCATTTAAGATATCTTTGATCAGGCTACAAAAGGGGGGATCTTAAAAAAGAAAAAGACAGAGAGCAGTTCCCTGAATGCTGCTGAAGTCTCTCACCTGCTTGGCTTCAGTGTCGGCCTTGCTCATGTCATTCTTACAGGCCATCATCTGGCCGGCCAGCGTGGCTTCCTCTCCATCCTCATTGGTGGACAGGCCAGCAGACACGGCCTTAAAATGCTGCTCGGCAGCCTCAAGGGCAGCGCCATCTTTCTGGCCTTCCTCTTTTAGAGCCTGAAGCTGCTCCGTTAACTTGGACATCTCTTTTTCTTTCACCAACAGCATCTTCTTGTCCTTAAAAAAAAAAAATATATATATATATATATATATATATATATATATATATATATATATACAGTATATAGCATCAGCTTTGATTAGGAGGTAAATCACATGACTCAGCTGTTAGATCATCTTTACCATAAAGTGGATGGATAAACATTTCAAACGGCGTCTTGATACCGACCTCCTGCATACTCTTGACAAGCTCCGCCTGCTTCTTGGTTTCATCCTCAAAGCTCTGTTTTTTCACATCGAGAGCACTCTGAGCTTTCGCGTCCACACGCTGCACGTCGGCTAGCGTTTCCTCCAGAGATTTTAGCACACTGTTCACTTCCTGAACATCAGCAAAAAACAAAAACAAAATGCAAGCCCAGAATGAATGCTTTGTTTTCTGGGGCCTATTTCTCAGAATGGCAAACTCTCTGTGGGCATACCTGGTCTCTTTTGTCTTTGAGTTCCTGAATCTGCACAGAAAGCTCACGGACTTTGCTTTCGTTCTCAGCCAGGGTGGCTTGCATCTCGGCAATGTTGTTCTGCATCACTTTCAGATTCTCAGCAGACTTTAGTTTGGTCTCCTCGGCACACAAGAACTGCCAGGCCACGTAAAGGCGCGACAAGTGCTCGATCTCACGCATTAGTTTCTGGTACTCCAGGTAAGACGATCGCTCCTGCAGGGTTCATGCATATTGTTCAATGAGATCTATGCAATTATTCAAGCTTTTAGCACATATTTGGGTTAAGAAACTCACAACAATACACCAGGGCTATAACCAAATAGTTTGAAAGAAAGTGAAGAAATTAATGCATAGGTTTAAAAAGCTCCTCAGTGGCAAAGCGCAGGACACGCTGAAGAGAGTGGAAAAGCTGGATGAAGGGGCTGGGGAGATGGAAGTCTGGGCTGCCTTGCTAAAGCTGCTGCCCCTGTGACGCGACCCCCGGATAAGCGGGAAAAAAAATTGTACAGATGGATGAAAAAAAAATAAAAAAGTAAGCTACTCAAATAAGCAACCAACACTTATTAATTCAAGACTTTAAAACACTAGCATTTAACTTGTGTGTGTATTGTGTGGGTCAACATACCTCCAGTAATTTCTGCATGGTTGGAGTAATTTCCTCATCTAAAATCTGAAAAATTAAAAGTGTAAATGACAACACATTTTCTTTCTATTTTACAGGACACTATTGTAAAGTTTTGGGAGCCAACATACAGTGTGGATCTCTTTCAGCTTGGCCTCCTTCTTCTCAATGGTCTTCTGGGCGCTAATCTTTTTGCATTCATACATTCTGGTCCCTGCAGCTTCCTCGATCATGGCAAGGATCTGCAAGAGCACAAAAACATTACTCCTTTATGCTATAACAGCCAAACAGCAACTGTTTGGACATGTTCGGACATTACCTCTGGTGGCTTCATATTCAAAACTTTGGTGATCCTTCCCTAAAGATTTAAGTAACACATGTTGGTATCACAAAATAAACAGAATAAAAGGGAAAAGTGGACAGAAGGCTGACCTGCATGATGAGAAAATGAGGGTTGTTGACATTGAGGCCAACAGAACAGAACAAGTCCTGGACTCTGGTATTGTTAGCATTGACTCCATTGATGAGATACTTGTTTCGGCCACCAATTACAACCTTAAAGAGACAGTTAGACACTAATAAGCACAAAGTTAGCAATATTCGATTTCCGTGTGCAATTTCAGGATTAACCTAAATTTAACCCTTTTCAGGTGAACTTAATTTGATTCTCTCATGACCAAATGTTTCAGTCTTTTTTGCGGTCTTAAGAATGATGCTCAAATGTAAATAGCACGATGAAGAGGACTTTTTAAATATCGACTCTAAATTCATTGGTCCATTCATGACTCAAACCCCTGTTGTAAACTTTGGTGTTCAGCAAGTTGGTGCAAACAGTATCAAAAATTTCAAAGTTTAGACAACGACAAAATTTAATTTCACCTGTACAGTTGTAGTTTTACTCACCTGTCTGGTGACTGTAATCTCATCATGTGTTTCAAAGCCCAAAGGACTTTGGCTTTTGTTTGCGTTGTCAAAAGTGATGGACACAGTGGCCTTGGTGATACCTCCTTGCCCGTTTTTGTAGACCAGGTCCTGGAGGTTGGAGGCTCGAACCTTTCCAGTGGAACCACGAATTTATTAGCGCGCGTGCACACATGCATTCACACAACGCATAAAATGCCACATATGTGACTTTGAGAAGGATCCCCAAATGCCACTTACGTGAGAAAGGTTCGTAATGCCCAAGAGAAAACATATGGAATCCAAAATGTTCGACTTGCCGCTACCGTTCAGGCCGGTGATGGCGTTGAAGAGCGGGTCGAAGCCGTTGATCTCAGTCCGTTGTGCGTAGGATTTGAACCCTTCGATGATAATTGACTTGATGTGCATCTCTAAGCCGCCCCTTCGATGGTGACCTCAGAAAATGAGTCGTACTTTTCGCAACAAAATAACAATTTCAAGGTTTTCGAGTGAGTATCACCGACAGCACTGTTCTTATAACTTGAATTTTGGCGGCAGTAATAGAACCGCTAGGCACTCTATCTGCGCCGGTACCAAAAAGAGCGCAAGTACAGAGTTTTAGTTATGATAACACAACAGGTAAAATTAGGAAACATTTTAAAATGTTAATCTTTGAAAAAAATTGAGTGAAACTATTTTACTCATTTTCTTGGGTGTTTCTTTAACTTTATTTTGCCAGGCATATTTTGGGGCAGCTAATATAGTTTATTTGGATGTTGCTAGCCTGTCAACCGACGTGCCTACACGGCGGCCATGTTGGGAGGGACACCCATTGAAATTCAGTCCTAACTTGCTTGATACTCAAGCGAAGTTCATTGTTACGTTTACCTTTTTTGTCAGTGCAAAAACGTGTGCTTTGTACGTTTTTTTTTTTTTTTTTTTTAATTATCTTGGCATCCATACCAAGAATGCATCACGCCTTGGCGCCTCCTAGTTCAGCGTCGTCAAAAGGACTCAATTCAAAAGGGGCGTGTCGTATCTGCAGATGTTCATATCTATGGTGTTGATGCAGCATGCGCGATGGTCAATGAACTAAGGCGTGTTACGCATTATAACCACTTTGTTTTTGGGGCGTATTATTTTTTGTTACATGATCGGTCAAATTAAAAAAATATGTAATAATAGTAAATGTCATTCTTATCACTAAATTTAAATAACTGAACTTTTATTATAAATAAAGTGAGTTAACTAAACACGTTTCGTCATCATTAAACATAATAATAACAATCGCTCACCAATGCAGGAGCAATTCTAGTGGTATTATACTAAGAATTTATAAGAATACAACTAAAATTTCATAGTTTGCGCTCTGACAATGACGTCATCACCTAAAATTATTTGGACTTGCTGTTTCAGAAGCTATTAAAGGCATTTTGGTGATGAAAAGTCCGTTGTGACTATCTTTTAATGTAAATTATGGACGATGGATCCTCTCCCGGGACCACCAAAGTTCACCCAGTACCTCCCGTCCCTTCAGCGGAAGACGGTGCTAGTTGAGGTGGTTAGGTGGTGGTGCTTCAGACAGAAGTCTGTTGTCCCCCTCTTTCAATTTTGCGGGAGAACTCTTGGTCTTAATCATCCTTAGACCCAGCCTCGTCAATATTTTTGAAACAGATGTTATGTTTCCTCTACATTTTAACTCCTATTGACCATGGTGAGTTTTCTCAAAAATCCATGCCGCGCTGAAAAGTGGTTGTGAAGGAAACCCACCATAGAAATAATAACTCGTAAATATTTTTGTTTTTTTTTAATACAATAAAATGGCAGTAAGGGAATAAGTTATACATTCACACACAGACAAAGTTAAAAGGCCAAGACCATCGTTAATCTATGTAAACAGTGCAACAACGCATCAAAACTTGAGAATTGTCAAAATGACGGCTCTGGAGTTCTAAATGGCGCCCTTGTATGGTTAACAGCTGCATTATTACATCAGCAGGAAGAAAATGCAGAGAACAGACTTTGGTGCTATTTGTAACTCCAAATGTATCCCTGAGTACGTAAACAACCCCACTTCCTCTGCTGCTTATCAAAGCGGAGTTAAACCGTGAAGTACCTGTATATCTGGGCAGACACACAGCAGTGATAGTTTGAAGTACTGTCCTCTCTCGTCTTCTTCGATGTCTTAACGAATATACGCAACCACACCCGGAAATACCGGAAAGGACAGTGCATCATGAGATTTTACAGGAAATACACCACACCGCTTTGTGCACATACTGTATTCCATAAGTACACTTACTATAGTGCAGTATGGTGGGCCTCGTAATTATTGTCTACCTCACAGTTCAGTTGAATCTCAGCTCTGGCCTTCTTGTGTGGGTTCTCCAACTTTTCTCCCTGTGTTCACCCTGTGCTTGTGTCACTTGAGCTTCCTCCCACATTCCAAAAATATGAATGTTAGGTTAAAGATTGTAAATTCGACATCAGTTTGAGTGTTTGTTTGTCTATATCACCGATGTCGGGCCAGAACATCCTGTCAAAATTTGGAAAGTCATTTTTTCACAAATCTATACTATTCGTGCGTCCACACATGTTGGGGTTACTTTTACAAATTATTGACCACTCTAAATGGTTGAAAATGGCTAATCTCTTTGACAATACCTTTTTAAACAAATGAAGGAACATGCCGTTTTTGGGGAGTCCTGAAAAGTGATTATTTTGAAGATACTGACACCAGCAATATGTGCCCTGCAATTGTCTGGCGACCAAGTCAGGGTGTACCCTGACTCTCAACCAAAGTCAGCTTGGGATCGGCTCAAGCTCACCCGTGACCCTAATGACAGGAAGCAGTAGAGAAAATGGATGGTACTAGATAGTACATTTACAGGACATATTCCTTGCGGATGAACTGAAATGCATGACTTGTCTCAAAGAACCAACACCTACAATCAGTACAGACTGTGAATGGTCATTTTAAACAGAAAAAAAATAGCTAGTTACAACCTGCATTCATCATGAACATGCATTCAGTTTTATCGAAATGTATCACCTTGCCCAAGGCTCAATAATGCAACATAAGCTCCATTCAATGAATTCTTCCTTCTCAATGGATGCTATGAATGTGCAGTGAACATGTTCGCGCACTATGACCTGAACACTCACACAAACACGCACAGTGACACACCCATACCCCCCCTCCCAACACACACACACACACACACACACACACACACACACACACACACACACACACACACACACACACACACACATCATTTTGACTCTCCATCATGTTTCCAGGGGCACAGGGCACATGGACAGACATACCAAGTTGAACGCATAGAAACATATCTGTGATAGCACCACACAGTCTCCTCTGTTGGAATAGAATGATGTGGGCTTGATGTAGGCCCAGTCAAAGTTGTCCAGGTTCAGCGACCTCTGACAGTGCTGTTCACTGAGAGCAACCAGAGCACGCACGAATGCGTATTTGGCCGAGCAGCTGACAGCGTGTATTGTACGCACCTTGTCAAAGTGGAGCAAGAAACAGGGGTCATCCTGAGGCAGAGACACATACCGTACATAAGACTCAAATGTCATGTGACGTTTTGATTATTTTTAAAACTTTTTGATTTTAAATGAATTTCGATGAATTCAAACATATTTATAATGAAAAAATTATGTTGAGTTGGGCTGTGGCTGGAGCAGTGTCATCATATTGGGATGAAAAATAATACTTAACACCATTAACAATTTACACAACAGCTCATATAATATTCTAATTTCAACAAGTCCTTGGCTTGCTTAAACTATCCCATCTGTTACAATATTATATAAAGAATTTTAAGAAGCTGATTAATATCTTTTTTTTTCCAACTGAGTGTTAAACAAAATAGCAAAAAAAAAAAACGGATCCATATACAATGCCTCCAACAATATAATGTTGTAGGAAGTTCTATGTATAAGATCATGAATTAATTTGTAGAGTTATCAGTGTTAAGCAGTGGATATGATACTATACTATAAGGCTTCTGGATCAAAATGGTTTCTTTTGAATCTGTTTTGTTCATTTTTATTGCACTGAAACATCTTCTATAAGTGTTTGAATGAAATGTTGATGGATGTTATACAAGTCATATTAAATGATCAAACAGGAGAATGGGTAATTTACAAACAAAGAGTTTACATCCAAATCTGCCACAAATTTTAAATAATTAATTAAGCCAATCTTGTGGTCTGTGCAAAACGTCCTCAAATTTCTACCTTTCGTAATGTTGTTAATTGAAACGATATGGTAAGTCATGATAAAGATTACCACATCAGGGTCTCGCCCATCCACCAGAGTCAGGTCTTGCAGGGACCAGATTTCTGTCCTCCTGTAGCACTCCTGGATGCTGGAGCGTTTGGTGTGGCCCCTTTTGGATCCAGATTTAAGGGGAGCCTGTGTCATCTGGCACCGCACAACGCATAACTGCACAAGCCTTTTTCTGTTTCCAACTGCAGAAACAACAGTTTGATTCACATAAGTAAGTCAAACAATTAGCCAAGGTACAAATAAACATAATCCTAAATAAAAACCTCTGGTAGACAAATGTGAACATTATTAGTTTTCTGAGGCTAGAATTTCGATGCGGCACTTTGCATAGGATTGTGCATGAAGTAGCTGTTTGTTACACGGAGTGCAGTCGCGAGAGTCCTGAAAATGGATGACTAATGGCCCGGGAGAAATAAATACAGTGTGCATGTGCATTTTATCATCATTCAACAGTTCTTGAGACGGGAGAATAAATGTCAAAGATGCTGTTGTAATTTCAAGCAGCAGCAAATAAAGTTTCTTACTTGAGACGCAGAGGAAATGTCGTCCAATCTCCGGTTCTTCAATCTCAATAAATTCCATCAGTCTCTGTTTTGCAGGTCGAAATAAAACCCTTTGCATCTCCTCCCTCAGAAGAGACGACATCACCGCGGTGGAGAGCGGACCACAGTCAAGGCTGAATAAATAAATGTGGGCAACAAATATAGCAAGATGAAATGACAACACCTGATAGCAGATGGTGGGGAGGGCAGGATGTTTGTTCTTTTCTGGTTGGTGTGTGAAATGAGAGCTTCCTCAAGAACACACACACACACACACACACGTACACACGCATACACAAACACACACATACAGTCCATGCTCCACTCTGCACGAATCAGGTGTGATCGTCCATGTCTCACTACTTTACTATTCTACTGTCTTCATGAAAACTCAGCAGTGACTGAACAAAAAGAGGAGCAATAAAGGCCAAACCCTTTCTCTTTTTATTGTGTCACTTAAGCCGCATTACAAGGATCGTCCTCACAATCATTACAGTTTCCCCACCAGTGTTCAACAGTTATTTCTCAAATGCACATCTGAAAACACAGTAGAAAGTCTTAGTTTTCTAACAATAACATATGATACAAATGAATGAATAAAAATGATATTCGGAAAATGAAACACACCACATGAAATAAAATAATTTAATTTCAAATGAAATATGGATTAAAACATTTCTTGAAATTAAGAACAGTGATTACTTAAAATACCAAAAATGCAATTAATCATTAGGTACAAAAATGTGATGATTTTGTGTACAGTATAAAAGCGAAAATGCCACTTAAGAGGACAATAGTACAGTAGAAATAGTTTTTTAAGTATATTGGAGTGCACTGAAGGCGAATGTTTCCCACACTCAGCGTTCAACATTAATAGTGGCCCTATGGACCAGGGCCTGTGTGACACTACAGTATGTCGGGCAACCACCTACTCCCAGAAGGTGGCCATTATGGGCCAGTGCAAATTTTTAAGTCACCGTAAACCAGCCATCAAAAATGTCCCAAAAGAAGTGCATTACTGGTTCTAACCAAAAGACTGTATCTTTCCTGTTGTAACACCTGTGGGAATAAAACATATGACCGGTCTCGTCAAAGCGTAGCCAATGATGAGTAATAACTGTATAACTGTAATATGTATTTTTGAATGTGTTTGTATTCATATATATATATATATATATATATATATATATATATTTTATATTTATATTTATGTGTTAATTCTTTAATTTGATATTCCAAGAATTTTGTAAGTGATTTATTCTTTGAAGCATTCATATTAGTATATTAATGTTAATTTGTGCAATTGCAATGCCTTGATTTGAGTGAGGTTAGTGCATGGTCGTGAAGACATTTTTACAGTAGAAATATGGAAAATTTAAAATACTAATTAAAACGTATTGTATTACATTATGAATATACAGGGCCAGTACCTGTCCTGATAGGGCCACTGCAACGAAGCTCACGGTGGCCGACCGGGCCACCAATCAAAAAGCTTAATTTCGGACTCTGCCGTCACTGATTGGAACTGTACAGTGTTACACAAGTCAACATTGTATGTCCCATCCTTTTCACGCAAGCACTCACTGTAAAGTTCCACCCTTGGTCTTTCTGTCTCCCCTCCACTCACTCCCTTATCGACGTTGCTGCATGATGTGGCACATTGCCCAGTGTTTCTCTGTGATTAAACGCTTGTTGTGTGGGAAATGGATTTCCCAAAGCACTCTGCATGCTTCCCATTAACCTCACGAGTCATTGGCTCTCTCCTTGAGCACAGGTGCGGGGTGAAGCGCTCCCCTTACAAGATGCTAAACGATGCTATGCTCAACGACGAGGCCGAGAGATGTTGCTCGATAATCAGAGAACATAATAGAACACATTGATCATTTCTTTAGTTCCACTTATATGAGAAATATGATCCTAAATTGGAAGAGAGCAAGTCCCAGCGGAATGAACAAGACCAAAGGACTAATTTGATTTGTGGCCTTAAAGCAATGTGGCTCCATTGGATTTGTCACATTTGTGAAAACAACAACGGGTCGCTCCACCGCTAAGTGCTTTTATTATTGTTGTTGGTCATGTAGGTTGGAAGGCTTTTTGCGTCTGAGATGGAAAGATGAGCAAGAACAAGCAGGAAGTAGCCAGGGAGGGAAACGTGTTGAATCTCATACATAACGCATGAGGTTTATTGTACTTACTTATCAGGATATTTAACCCCATCAATTCATCCTGTCATGATTATTTGCAAAGAGCAGGAGTGACAAGCTCAATTTTTGTTTTGGCCCACATTGTAGCTATGGTTTCCTTCACAGGGCCGTGATGACTTTGAACTCAAATAAATGTTTAGTTGCCTCATATTACATCCACACAAACGAACTGATGAATCACTAGTTTTGAAATCGAAGGCCAGTAAAACGTGCTCAAACATTACATTGATTTTTAAAGTAGGGATTGGTAACAAAAAAAGGTTTGCAATTTTTCAATGTTTTTAACATGAAGACAAAATGCAATTTTGGTGTTGTACAAAGAAACATGAAGTCGACACACATATGTAATTTGCTATCATGGGCCACCTAAAATGATGTATAGGGCCGAACGTGGCGCTCGAGGTACTCTGATAAGGGTCATATTTCCCCTTTGACTTCAAATAGCTGAATAATATGAGCACCATCGTGTGAAAAGGTGTGTTGAGGATTGTTATGTGGTGTTGTCGGAGGCATTGTATCAAGATTTTCCACAAATTTTGTATTGCACTTTTCTTCATTTTTTTCTTCAGTGCAGTATATTGTATTTGTTCACGACACTTGAGCTGTATTCAAGGCCTGAGTGGGGCACATTTTCAGCACTGGAGTTTCAGGGCTCAGGCAGACCCACCTTAATTCACAAGGTTTTAACGAAATGTTACCGTTATTAGTGGATCAATGTAAAATATTTTACCACGACGGCCAATGATATTTATGTCGTGTTTGCTGTAAAATATTTTTTATATTTGAATGTGCTTAAAATATCACAATCAGTGAACAAATTGTGAGAACATAAATAGGTAAAATGGGCAAAAGGACAAAAAGGAAACAATAGGCAAGCATATATACAGTAACATGGGAGAAGACATTTTACACTTAGCAAGGCAAAATGATCAAACGCTGTTAAATCATCAAGATTTAGGCAGCAAACTGCATCTGATGCACTACTTAGCGGACTGACGCTAACTTTCATAAAGGTTGTCGATAGGGTGGAATCAATCAATAATGTAAGGGGAACCTCCATACGGGAACGGGTGCAACGTCACGTCCTATAGAGCTTTTGATTGGGTGTCGAATAAAAGGGGAACCCCTCTCTCCGCAATAAGGCCACCCTAAACCCGGCTTTAATGGCACCCTGGAATCATAATATCACATCAAAAATGTATATTTTCGTATATTGTCGCCCCCCCCAAATAAATAAATAAATAAATAAATTAAAAAACAATTTATGGTTAATATCTATCTATCTATCTATCTATCTATCTATCTATCTATCTATCTATCTATCTATCTATCGATATATAAATAAAAGTCATCACTGTAATCATTACCAAAAATAAATAAATAAATAAATAAAATAAGAGTGGAGAGGAAAAAAACACGCAGTCATTTCCCGCGGTGACGATCTCTCAGCGGTCTCCGACTTGGCTGCTTGTGTACTGTACTTGCCAAATAGTGCGCCCTACTGTCTCTATTGCGCATGACTGTACGGCGTAGTATGAAGTAGGCCTCCTGTTTTTCTCCCCAAGCCGGAGTCCTCTTGGCCCCCGCCGCCTCCTCTCGATGCAAGGCGACGAGCGAACCGCACAACAGCAGGCTTCGCTGTCGAACGCTAGGCGAGGTGAGGCTCTTTTGGTGCGGTGGATAGATATCGTTTTATTCGGTGTTTGTGTGCGTGTGTGCGAGAGGGAAAGAGGCGCGGAAGCGGTTCGACTGCAGCGGAGGCTTGGGAACTGTTTCCGCACGCTGGAGGGCGAGCAAGGCCCAGTGACCCACATTCTCAGCAGCCTTATGTCTATGCGCGCGTCAGTTTCCGTGTGTGTGAGTGTGTGCGTGTGTGTGTGTGCGTGTGTGTGTGTGTGTGTGTGTGTACGTGCGTAAGCGCTGGTGGCGCGTGTTAGTACGTAATGTATGTATATATTTATATACATATATATTTAGAGAGAGAGAGAGAGAGATAGAGAGATAGATAGATATTTACATTTGTAAGTGTGTGCGTGTGTGTGTGCGCGCACACACATCCATACATCTGCCGCGTAAATGTTTCCACCATTGCCATATTTGCTTTTTAACGGACGTAAATGTTGTTCCCAAAGCGTGAAAAATGTATTTGGTGGAGAGCTTGGCGCGCGTCAGTGTTTGCGGTATTTTATGGAATAATTTGGTTCTCAGTTGTTGCGTGACAGCTCGGAGCCCAAAGCCAGTTTTGCTGTGATATGCTGCCAAAATTGTTTTCAAAAATGTTCAAACGAATACGTCTTTTGTCGTGTCGGTGCCGTTCGCGAGTGTAACGGTAGGAAGACTCGAGTGAGCTAAATTGGCAGGTTTCGGTAGCAAAGCTTAGTTAGCATGTTAGCTAGCTACAGTATGTGGGTTGCCTTCCCGGTTGTATAACGAACACCTGTGGCACATATGCTTATTGTTTTATTCACTCTATTTCGAGCTGTGAGATGCGGTATAAATCTACCGTACTCTTTTTTGAACGTGTGTCCACTGTAAAGAATGGCTCAATGAAATAAAAGCTTAGCCATGAGGATTACTGTACAGTAGGTCATGGCAGCGCTTCCCGAAGTGCAGCCACTCCAGGGTCAAGATGGTTGCTGTAAAACTTCCAGTCATTCATCGGCGCAGTTGAAATCGTTGCTTGGAAATTTTCATTTGTTGCCAACGTGTACACATAGGACATCTGGACTGTTATTTAAGTCAGGTTTTTAAACGAGTTGTGGTCCTTGCTTAGTAGTAGTACAGTAGTAGCTGCCATGGTGTGATTGATTGCAAAACGAGCGATTTTAATCGTGAAGGAAATGTATTTCTACCGGAAACGTTTCACCATCATCAGCTTTTAAAATGTGAGGATTTTATCAGGTTCTCATCAAATATTGTATATTATCGTGAGCCTAATGCTGTAGTTGCCTAAATCATTTTGAACTTAGTACAATATCAATAAAAACCACCAGTGTGCTTGCCAAAAATTGCGTTTTTCCTT